ACGATTTCCGAAACATCTTATATGCAAATAAACATCAGTAAACGTTATTATAACTCAATAATTCTTTTATAGAGTTTTATTTTGCAAACGGGTATTAACAAAAATTAGCATATAATTATAAATCCTTGAATTATATTCTTGAAGAATCCTTAGAATCCTCCGATCCTAAAATCTCTTAAGGCATTTGGGGTGATGCTAAATTCTTAGATTCCCTGGGGTTCTCTTGGATCCAAAGGGAAAGATAGATTCGACTTTGATAAATCGAATTTTATCGTCTTTGCTTGTTAAGCGAAAACCACTTTACTGTTTGTCTCTAAAATAGAATACGAACGTTCTCTATTTTTAGACATTCCACATTTGGCTTCATCAATATTCTCTGGATTCTAAAAACAGCTTGATAAATTTTTAGTTATATTACTAACCAAGTTTGTTTTACAAGTGGCAAAAACGAGCGTGTGTTAGGAATCGATAGTTACTACTGATTTTTAGCACGTACGACAACAAATTTTCAGGTTTTCACCCTCAAGAACGGCAGTGATATTTGCGGAAGCACGTTTAGCTGGAGAACTAACACTGCACCGAGAAGCGTTGATAAGGGATGAACAAGCGAACGTTAAGTTTAGAAACAAGGGTGATCATAAAAGTTGCAAACTTGAAGCTGCGTTGGCCGACGAAGCGAAAAGCTGGCGAAACCAGTACTAAATATGAATCATAAAAGAAGCATAAAGATAATTGTATGCTAATAGGCAGAGCGTATGCGCCACGTCGCCCAGAACACCTCAACATCTCCCGTTATTACCTACATAGCTACGGTATACATACATAATACTACACAGACTTGACAACCGTGTTTTCACAGTACCTCACATGGTTTCTCTGATATAACGTTAATACAAGTTGATTCCATTTGATTGAATTTGAAAGCAGTCATATTTTGTTTCATAGCACATTAATTTATGTATATCCTTTTATAGTGCATGAAGTTAAGGATGTATAGGCTATATACTTAAACAATGTTAGCATGTTGAATTTGTTATTATAGATTC